GCTCTCGTGGAAGGCTGCTGCTGCTGCTGCTACTACTACTACTACTACTACTGCTACTGCTAGTACTAGTACTAGTACTAGTACTAGTACTAGTACTAGTACTACTACTACTACTACTACTACTAAGAGAAAAGTATGGCGATCTATGGTTTCACCTTTCCTGAGTGTCTGCTAACATTGCGACTTCAGCAGAGCCCTACAGCTCACTGTTCCTGGAATTACGACTACAAGAAACTCTCCAAACTTCCAGCCTCCAGTCTCTCCAGTCCGACAGGTCGTCGGCCACACCCAAAGCAATTCGGCCCTGGAAGCGCCCTTCCTGACACAAGGGTCAATGTAGATGCGAGCTTTCCCAGGCCTTCGCGAATTTCGCACTACGACGTTGATAGGTTCCTTTCTCCTGCGGTACTTTTTCAACCCTAGCCTCGCTGATGCTACATGGCTATTGCTTGAATTGCCTTTCGTCTTGTTCTTGAAGATTTAGCGGGGATATACCACTCCGCGACTGTAGTCAGGTTGCTGAACGGGTCGTTGAGAACCAGAAGGGGACAAGAACGTAAGGAATGCACGTGAATGTAACTACACGCTATTTGGTCACGATAAGCCCACAGGGCATCACAGCCCAAGCATCGAAATTTCCTGTAAAGATTGCGAAGTGCTGACACAAGTGGCAGCTCTGTCGGGAGCTTGCTAGATGTCTCGGGAGTGAATTCAAAAATGCAAATGATTATGTAGTTGGTACGTGCGGTTTCCCAATAGCAACTTGGTCTCCGGTGCTGCCGACCAGTGAACCCATCCTACTCCTGCAGCGCAATGAATGGATTCCTCGAATGTCTGCTGAATCATTGACAATGATCCGATGGATTTTTGTGAAGATCCCAGTCAGCGATGTCCTAGCTGGTTCGCCGGGTCTTTACATGCTCGGTTCGGTCTTCCGTTGCTTGCAGCCGGTGCGTATCATGTAGACATTCATTCTCGATCTTTCTATTCAGTGTCCGTCGGATTTCGGGCGAATGGGTGATGCTATGAGGTTTCGCTGCGACCTCTGATCGGAAAAGTGGCGGGAGCGGCGGTGGCGCTGGAAATACTGCACCGACTTCTTCCCCCGGACCCTTTTGGACCGCGATTGCGTATCAGCAGAGATTGCGCTTATAAGGCCTCGGGAAGGGGCTCGTCTCGTGGCTTCGGCAAGAAGCCCGGATAGAGCATGACCTGTCAGGTCACGGACGACAGGACGGACCAACATGACATGTCAGTCCACCTCAGGCACAAAGCTGCTCTAGTGTCTGGATCTGCAGGGGGCCACCACTACCCTCTTTCTCCTGCTTGCCGAGCGTCTGCTGCAAAGGGGCCTGGCCGCAGACACTGTGCACAGCTAGTGACGTTCTTCGTTTTGAACATGTTCGTTCCTGCTTCGAAGCAGTATGTGCAACTGAAACTGTAGGTAGCGGTGGAGTTCTTGCTGCGGCCTTCTTGATGCCGGAGTCCATCCGGAGACTGCCACTGCACGTTGTAGCTGCCGGGAGCCTGCAATCGTTCTTCCGAGGTCGCTTAGCTGTTGAGGCGAGGAGGAGCGCATGGGGCGGTAGCAGGAATGGCAATCGAGCTTGCTGGTCTGGCTGAGTCCAGCCAAAACAGCTCAGGTTCATGCAATATGCTCTGGCCTCCATGTCAACTTGAACCACTTCAGCACGGAAGCCTCGCATCTGATCATAGGCCCGGGGTCCAGAAAGCCTACAAGGCTGCCTGTGAAGTATGAATAAATTGTAAGTCACGGTGCCGATTGGCGACCCACCTGAACCAAGCCTCTGCTTTTCATATCGTATGATAACCTGGCTCAACTGACAACTTCCAATCGGAAAATCTGCAGAGTTGCGAAACGCGGTGGATGGTTGCCGGAAAGAATCTAAGAACATGAGGCTCATTGGAAGTTTTTTGCAAAGCCGCTCACGTGAAGCATGCGGGCAGCGGTGGTTGTACGAGTCAAGAAATTGTCGGCGACAGAAGCATGCAGGTCTCTGGACAAAGGCGCACTTCGCATAAAACTTTAGAGGCGAGGTGGCTCGGCAGACACTGTGATGTCATGGATGGGAGGCAGGGAGGGAGGGAGGGAGGGAGGGAGGGAGGGAGCGGGAGGGACGGGGGCGGAGGGAGGGAGCGAGGGAGGAAGAGGGAGGGGAGGGAGAAGGGAGGGAGGGAGGGAGGAGGGAAGGAGAGGGGAGCACTGCCAGAAAGAACGGCGTCGTCTCTGTCGTGCTATAAGCTGCGGCCGAAGCACGGCAATGGTCAAGGATCCGGTGATGCGACGCGAACTCCTGGCACTATAAGGAAAGAGGCTACTGGTAGCAAATGAGGTATGAGTCGAAGGTCCCTTTTCTCAGTCGCGAGCCCAACCAAAACTGAGTTATCAGTTCATGCTTTTGGACTGTCATGTCGTGACCCTCTCAGCCTGAGCATGATCCAGCATGGCATCTCTCGGAGTATAGTTTGGCAACTCGGCCTCAGCGTCTAAGGCCGCGGGCTTGGAGCTTGGCTGGTTTGCGCCAGTCTTGTAGTATCAGTTTGCTAAGTTGCAGACACTTTGACATCAACATGTCTTGCTATCACAATCGTTTTTCCCTTGGTGTTGAAGCTCCTTACATCGAAGTTTTCTTTCGCGGTGTTACCGTGGCCATGCATGCACAGGATTCGGCCAGGAATCCTACCTAGCCCATACCAAGGCAAGAAAGGGTAGATTCGGCTCCATGGTGGTGCCTGTCCGCTGGAGTTTGCTGAGGGCCTGAGCCTGTTCAGTAGCTTTCGGTGCAAGATGGTGCAAAAGCAGATCGCTGTGCCTTCGACTACTAAACTTCGTGCTCAGCCTTGGAGTTTGACACTGCGCTGGAGAAACACTTAAAGTCCCCGGCCGGACACTCGCCATCCGCCAGGCCCAGGTGGTAGGTGCCCCGCTCAATCTGGGCTTTCGAAGTGCCTCTGGAACTGCTGGCTTGTTCAGGGCGCAACACGCGGGAGATTTCTTAGTGAAGTCCGACATGCAAATATGTGGAAAAAAAAATAAATAAATATATATATATATACATACACACACACATAGACACGCACGCAGGCACACAAATCATCACAAATCCACCAAGACCACACGCAAGAGCCAGAGCTTTCTGAGCTTCCGAGCGGTTCGCCATGGAACGCCATGAACCACCGAGTGCTCCCTGCCTGAGCCCACCATGCTGAAAAAGCTCTGTGGTGACTCAGCGGGGCAGCATAGGGCAGCACAGTTGACTCCTACCTACTCTTGAGAGGCCTTGAGCCTTATTTCCTGCGCAGCTTCTAGAAAGGCAGTAGCCTCCCACCTCCCTAGACCTCGAGGAATCGGTGCGTGCAAAAAGGGATGGCTTGGGTCCTGGGTTCAGCGGACCAGAAATGCAAAGCAAGAAGGTGGAAGTGGGTGTATGCCCAGCCGAGGTTTGTCTCAAGACTAAATCCATCGGAGTGCGTCGGACAATGTGTTTACTAGCAACAAGCTTCTTGCATAAGGAGGCACGCCATGCTGACAACACAACGTGACGGATGGGTTCAGGGTTGCAGGCTGCTCCACCATACTTACTGCCTCATCTCTGACGCTGCTAAACCAGAACAACACACGTCACATACACCGAGGCAGGGTCGCCAGCAATGGCCAAACGGCGATAAGCCGCCGTAATCCTAGTCCTAGCATGACCTATATGACCTATGATATCCTATGACCTTGCTCACGCCAATGATGTTTCGAATATGGAAGATGCCCGCGAACTCCGACAAAAATGTCAAGACTGACTGAGCTGGTTCTGTCCAAGCTCTGATAGCATGAGCCCAGCACTGCTCGAAGATACGAAAATCGATTGAGCGTCGCTGCAGCTCACGTGCCTGCAAGAACAAGGTGGGGCCATGCAAACCATTGTTCATGTCATGTGAAGCAACTCCGATTAGCACGCTAGAGACTTCACCAGCCTGCACCACAGGAACTTCGGACCGTGGTAGGAGCTTGTTAAGACTCGATCCGAAACCAACGAAAGCCTTTAGCCGAATTCTCAAGCCCTTGTCCATGAGCCACATAGCTCCCCTGCTCCCCGCACCGCAGAGAGGCCGCCAAAACCGGCACCAACTATGGCCACGGGGGCCGCCAAAGACTGCAGGGGCGGTTCTCAGAAGGAAGATGCTGCAATTTTCATAGAGCTCATTGATATGTGTCTCAAGTTGGCTGCGACTGTGCTTTCTCTTACCTTCTCACGCCGATGCTCGAGCTGGCAAAACCTTCCCAAGTGGATGCAGTTACCCGTTCTAGAGTCTAGAGATGTTCTTGAAACCAGACAGGCTTATTGCGATCTTGAGGATGCAGACTGGCTCAGGGCTGCTGAGACCGATGCAGTAGCCAATGGCAGGCACTGTGTGTTATGCCATGTGGAACGGAAGTCGAAGAGGTGACCAACACTGCTCCCTCGACCTTTGAATACCTGATGCATGCGTGGTGTGTGCCGACAACAATTGCAACTCACTCTATCCGGGGTGCTGTCCCGTGCAACGCCGTAAGCTGTAAGCAAGTCTGCACAAGAGAACAAATGAGGCTTGAATGTTATGCTTGCAGCGTCCCAGAACGGCTGCATGATCCCCGGCGTGTTGAAGTCAGGATCCTTGAAATCACCATTTACATCTAGACCTCAATGGTAGGGGCAGAGAAAACCCAAATGCCAAAAATCGGAGGGCGTATGGCCATGTAGCCGGCAACCCACCCAAAGGTTGTCGAATCCCCGTCCTGATAACTGCGGGCATCCTGATGGCACCCAGCGCTCCGCTCGACATCCCGCCCTGTCCGTAGCAGCGGAAACTTTGCCGGCCGTACAGAACCCTCGTCATCGCGAAAGTCGCATATACAGGGTGCAGAGGGACATGGCCGCAACCGCCTGTCACTTTTAGCCGAAACCCGCAAGATCGTCTCTGCATGCCGGTGATTAGTCATAAGTCTAGGACGAAAAGTCTTGCTGTGCCTCACACGGAAACTGTATTGCGTCACTGATCACAGGTCAGAAAGCCTTAAGGCCCCATTGATTGGATCCAGTGGCAAAGCCGGCCCGCGACCCAGTCTACATATGGATGCATCAGCATCGCCAAGGGCAAAGAACTCTGAGCTGGCGCCTCAACTATACCCACAGCATCTTGAAAGCCGTGCGAAACCAGCGGTTAGCATCGACAATTTTGGGAGCTCGCCTAGATCACGAAGTGCCGGAAGCTGCAGACCAATCTGGTCCTGGAGGATTGCCATGAGGGTTAGAGTCGGCTGGCTAGTGCAGAGTCTTGCAAGCGTTCGGGATGTTAGGGGGACCAATGTTGGGGCTGATCCGTTCCTTTCGGCTCGCAAGACGAGACGAGCTCTGTGCGGCCGAGTGGACAAACAGTGACACGGACACAGCAGAGACTGAGCTACTCGTGCCTGCAAGGACTTGGCCAAGGAGGAAACGGTGCAGCAAGTGCAACGCTCTTTTTGCTGCTTTGAGCGAACAAGTCGAAAGCTTAGGTAGAGGTAAGACGAACAGCTAAGGCTGAATAGTCTGATGCATTATCATTCTGACTCCTCTGGGGTTGTCGAAAATACATTTGTCACACCGCCTTCTATGAAGTGAGATCCCTATATAAATTAAAACACATCCTTGCGGAAACCGGACAACCCACCGTCAAGGAAAGTACGTAACTACGTCTCACACAAAAGACGGAGTGTGCGGACCTGGGAGTGCATAGGGGCAAGGAGGAAAGCACATTGTGTCACTGAGAATCATGGAAGCTTGAGCTTGATACATTGTGGGGACGCAGCATCTCCAAAAACGCAGTAATTGGCGGACCCGTTTTCTCGAATAGCAAGCAGAGGTGCTTCGTGCTTTGTTCGCCTAGAAATCCTAGAACCCTCAAGTGTCCGCAAGGGTGTCGTGTCGGTTCCTCTGGGCATCTGTCGGGGTGGTTGGGTTCCCGACGCAGTCTTCTAATCGCTTTCTGTCGAGAGCTTCCCGTTGAGGCGATGAGGGTCTCAGGCGCCATGTTTGAATAAACTTGAAGACGGTGGACGATGAAGCCCTGCAGCCTCGAAACACCAAGCCCTCAAAATGCAAGAGGGTGATGGTGCTAGTTAGAGTCAGAGGTTTGGAAGGCATTTCGATGGCTTTTGTGGCCAGCTGCCCTGCAGCCAAAGACACTTCCAGGTGGTAACCTGTCTGAGGGCTCCCAAACTTGAAAGCTTGGCAGCTTTCCCAGGCCTCGGTCGACGGAGGTGCAGCCCGGAGCCCCTCTTTACCGTGTGCTTTCTCCTTCGGATCTGCATCTAAAGCATGCCCTGACCTGCGGCTCTACAGCACCGCACAATGCATACCACGGGCCCGATCTTCGGCCGGAGGAAGTCTGGACACAACCCCGGCACGATCTTGCGCTCTCTCGTCTAATACAGCATGTAAGTAGCAAACACGTGGAGATCTGAAGCTGGAAGACCGCCCGAGACCCGCACCACACAGAGCCGGATCTCTGTCAAAGGTTCTGCCTTAAGTTAAGGCCGTGTCAGGGCTACGGACGTAGATAGAAATGCGACCGATGCAACACGCCCAGTGCTTGATAGCTAGTCGAGCACAGATTGCGGAGAGCGCTTTCCTAGATTTAAGTCTGTGTGAGCTGAACGACGCTCATACAACCCCTGCTGCGGCCCCGTGCTCCAGAACGAGCAGAGCTTGCCCCTGGTGTCGTCGGGAAACTCCCACATCTCCTCTTCTGCGAGAATGTGCGGGGGTGCATGGGATGGCACGTGGAACTGTGTAACCACATCGGCAAGCTGGTCGAAAAGTGAAGCACTTTCTTCTTGTCTTCATGTCTGAAAGGGGACGGCCTGCTGACATCTTCTTGACACATGAAAGGCTCCTGATGATGGGACGCCCCATTGCAGTATGCCGGCGGCGTATAAGTTCGGACCTGCAGCCACGGCAAACAGACTCCTCAAGACGCATGTAGCCACAGTCCTATGCTTCTCTCCCAAAGCCGCCGCATTGACGCATGTCATCGTCCCAAGACTGCTGGCCTCATAGCAGCGTGGCTCCCCGGACAACACCTCAATCGCCTGACGCGTGGGAGGACTCTACACTACTTGCCTAAGCAAAGTGCGCCTGGTAAGCATTCCCGACAATGAAGCGATCATTAGAGCTCACAGCTTGCTCAGGCGCAGGCCATCGCGGAGTACTTTGTCGGGACCTGAGCTGCAACTGCATCCCAGACCGGAGTCAATGTTTGGGCATGTGAAGTAAGCCTTAGTAAGCTTTCGGCAGTGTCGTCCAGGGTGCCGTGGGCAATCAGTACTTGCCTCTTCTTCTCTCCTCCGACAACACATGTCGAAAACGTCCCAAACCCTCTAACCAGCACAGCCCCTGTTAGCCTCGTGTTGAAGTGGAGCTGGAGTCAGACGATTCAATACTATTGACGGTGGAGGGTATCTCAAGGTGTTTTGCTTGAGGTCTTCAGGCATCTAGACTAGACGAGCAAGAAAATGCAGGAGCCGCAATTCTCCTGCAGTGCAGTTGGAAAGCAACTGCAACGGGTCGTAAACGTCCTGATTTCGAGGCTGAGCGGCACAACACAGAAGAAATGTTCGGAAAGGCGCAGACAGTCGGACAAGCATCACTGACGTCACGCCCGGAACCGGTATTTACCCTGAGCCTCAACCTCCAATGGATGTTCAGCGCGAATGTCTCCTTCTTGTCTTCACTAAAGATACTAAAGACTCTTCACTCGCACTTTTCTCGAACTTTGCTCTTTGGAGAGAACGCAAACCGAATCGATCCTCAAATGCAACGCCCAACCAGCGAGATCAATGGGTGGTGTGATGTGAGTTCGAGTCCTTTGCTGCGTGACGATGGTCTCAAGCCAAGACGAGCAAAACGAAAACAAGCATCAGGCGTCTGGTCCGAGGCACCACACGACCGCCCGAGAAGAAGGTAGCGGAGGCGAATACCTCGAGAGAGATGGAGATGATGCCTACACGGGAAACGAAATGTCAAACTCTGCAAACTCCGGAACCCCAATACCATGTCATACCATGTCACTCCGTTCCCACTGTTGAGTAAAGAATGCACGAGGGAGCAATTGCACATAGCTGTGTGCAGGGGCATGATTCGCTGTAGCTTTACAGTTCTGTGTCCGACACCCACAAGGTCCACATATTGTCGAAATGCATCCAAGCTGCACCTCTCGCAAGGATGTCCCCAAAAAAACTGCCAACGTACGGAGCAACCTGCACAAGCTGATGGCATGCATCCCTTGCGAACGAAATCGACGCCTACTCGAGCGGCTAGCGATAGGCCGCAAGGCTGAACTCTACGCATGCTCGGACTGCTCAGAGCTCCATGGTCCATGGTGTATCCGTATACGAAACCTACAAAGAACCTAGCGGATGTAAGCCTCCATCCTCAGGCGTGACCGGACAACAGAGGCCCAGACCGTGGACACAATCATCCCGAAAAGCCCGGCATAGGGGCCCTGCCACACAGAGTGGTACGAGTAGACTGGTTGCAGACTCTCAATTTAGAGTTAGGGTGAGAGTGAGCAGAAGAGTGACCGCGTGGGTCACACTCAACACCACGATAAAATGCCCAAAGTCTGTGAATGCCGCCCAATTTTTTGAGGCCCTGGCTGAGTCCAGCCAAGCACCAGGAATTCTTTGTTCCAGGCCTGAGGCTCAGAGTTTGTTTTACTAAGAATCTGCAGTAAGTGTGCGAGATAGACACCATGCGCACACTTTTCGATAGTGATGCTCAGGTCACAATCTCTTATACATCAACACTCACAATACAGCACGCTCGTAATGATTACCGTCGTCGGCAGTGGTGGTGGTGGTGGTGGTGGTGCTGGTGCTGGTGCTGGTGCTGGTGCTGGTGCTGGTGCTGGTGCTGCTGGTGCTGGTGCTGGGACACGGGCCCGATCAGTGCCATCAGATCTTGTTCTCATTCGGCTCAGGTGGCATGTCTTCAAGCTCAACATTCGCTTCAGGTTCCTCCTCAATGCGCTCCAGTCCAGGAGGATGTTTCACTCTGCCTTCCACTCCCAGATCTTGCGGCATTACAAACGCAGTCGACTGAACTCCATCTCCAAGCGGCTGCCAAGGTGTAGAGCTCGTTTTTCTGACAGTCGATGCATTCCACTGCTAAGAAGGTGCTCGTCTCTTCACAGCGCGAACCTTGAAGGCACCATTCGCATATTCCCAAGGATCACTTCATCAGCTTCAGTGTCCTTTCCGAGGCACACTCAGGGCAGCCACCGCAATCCTGCTATGGGACTCACACGCACTTTAGCATCAATCAACTCTCCAAACCTGCACAGTGCTCCACCATAGGATCATAGGCACGATTCCACAGACGGCTGTAGGCAGTCCGACAGTCCTACCATCAGTGCCAATCATGTAGCGATTAATCAGCCGTTGAGCATGTTTGACAGCCCAGGTGAACATTGGCTATCAATCTGAGTAAGCTGCACTTCCTTGAGTTTGTAATGGTCCAGTGGGCGCAGCGCGCATAAACAATCCTCCAACCGTCTTGCGCTCGGAGTCGGCATCGGTGGTACTCCGGAAGCGCCAATCAACAGGCAAGCCCCAACAAACAAATTCGTCATCAGTCGAGGCTTCGCTCCTCTGACAGTCTTCGCAACCCGGGGAGCATTCTGATCCGAAGGTTGGACAGTCACAGCGGAAACATTCTGTGGTGGTTCATTCTTGGCGGTGTCCTGAGGGACATTAGCCGAGCTCGTGGCACCATTCGGGCTTTGCTGAACCTCAGTCGTCCACCAACCCTGTGTGTTCCAGGACCAGTCCTCAAGCCAATAACTCCAGTCGTCATCGAACCATGACCAGTCACCAGACCAATCATCAACAGAGCCGATCCACTCAGAATTCCAATCCGATTCATCCCACGTGCAATCATCGTCGTACCATCCATCATCCTAATTCCAATCCTGACTCCGTTCTCCTTGCTGATTCTCCTTGCTGATTCTCCTGCTGGTTCTCTACCTCCTTTCGGGCATTCCTTGCTCCAGTGGTTTGGGTCACCACAGAGAAAACATCCTTGACCCTTGCCTTTTCCTTTCATTCCTCTCAGCCAATGACAGCCAATGATCTCATTCAACAGATTCGTGGCGCTCGCTCTCTCTGGCAGTGAGAACTGCTTGTTCAATCGACGCCAAATCTCAAATCCATTCTCCGTGTCCTCATTGCGCACGATCGCGCGTGCGGCGCCATCAGTGATTTGCGCCAGCATGCAAGCCAGTTGTCGTGAGAACAGTGTGATCACTCGATGACCTCCTTCAACATCATCCATCATTTGCTTCGCCACAAGTTTGTACAATCCAACTTATCGCTTCAGTTGCCAGGACCGATTCTCCCACTTCTCCAGTTCACCATGTTACACTGGAGGTGGGAACAGTTTGATTTCGCCACCGATTCCTCTCACTCCGAAGTCCATTCTCTTTCACTCTTTGCTTCTCCAGAGCCAAAGCTCCGCTGCCATGCAAAATTCCAGTATGCAATCAAACAGGTATGACTCGGTATGACCAACCGAGATCAGTGCATTCCCACAATCCACAACATACTCAGGCAAGCATTCATTTATGCGGCCAAGCCAGTCCTGTCCAGTCTTCAGCCAAATGCCATTCGGCATTGTAGCATTCGATAATGCATCATGATCATTCTAGAGCATTCTAGAGAGGTGTCATTTAACAGAGTGAGTGAGTGAGTGCGTGCGATTGTGTGCGTGTGTGTGCATTGGCAGAACCCTGTTTAATGACAGAATTCCCAGAAAGACTGTTTTGAAGGGTCGAGGCTGGAAGCGAAGCTGCAAACCCCTTCCTTGACACTCACGACGGCTGGGGAGCGATCCGAAGGCAATTGCGGTCTCATAGGCGCCCTTGGAGAAGCCCATGATGCCTACCTCTGGAGCGGCAATGATCCCCAGAGGTTTAGGATGGAAGGTGCACCTTCAAACGAACACCGGTGCTTGAGACGAGACCAAGTTACTTTGGCATCTCAACCCCGGGGCTGTGCAGAACCACTGGTCCGACGTCTCGTGCAGCAGATGCCCAGTTCAACCAACGCAAGCCACGACAACTCCGGCCCTCTAAGCTTTTCGCCTGGTCGGGAGGCAGCGGGCCATCTAGAAGGCCATCTGGATCCTCCACGGCCTTAGCTGGGTGGAGGAAGACATCTCGAGGCTCGGTCATCCGAGGTCAAGCCACATCAAGAAGACAAGAGGTTTGACAAGTGGTTGCTGCGAAAATCGAGACGTCAACTACACCGCAAAACTCTCTGACTCCCCTCATCGAATCCACCAGTGGCTCCACGTAGGCACTAAGCTGGCCGCGTAATCCCAGCCTCTTCGGGGCTGCCAGGGGCGTAGTTGCTTTTGCATAGTGTGGGTGTAGAGACTATTCAAGGGGTGCGCAGAGCTTGGGGTGCTTTGACTCTGAGTCCTGGGACTTCAGACGCTCAGCCAATTTGGACATGGATTGGGGTACAGTAACAATGCAGCACCCGGCAATCAACATGAAATTTGATGTCGGATATATGATATCTGATATCACTCTGCAAGCAATCAGGAACGCCCGCAGGCCTCCGAGAGTGTCCTTGGTTGGCAGAAGTTCTGCGGAATGCTTTTGACATCAGCTTCTCCAAGGTTGTTCAGCAGCTCTCTTTCTGTTTCAGACTGGAGTCTCGGCTCGAACTCGAGCAGCGTGAACCCAACCTTAGCCCTTGAAACAAGCTTGCCGATCGATGCAGCCACGTCTCTAGGTGATAGTCGTAACCCCAGGTCAGAATGTCCTTGGATGCGAGATTTCCGTCGGAGGAGGGAGTTAGGCACAAACACCAGCCAGAGTCTCTCCTTGTACAGATAGCCACCAGAGCTGTGCGAACCTCTGAAAGCCAAGAGCCCAGCAAGAGCCGTTGCGAAAGAATCCTAGGATCAATTTCCACACCAGTGCCGACCTCGCTCGTCCCGCTTCGACATCTGTTGAAACCCTTCAACCCGGGATCTGCACGCATACCCTCCAGGCAACCCTGTCTGCCCTAATGTGGTCATTTGCAAGGCTCCGGATGGCTCGAGGGTCCCGACAACCCCGCATCCCGGGCGCTGGGGGTGAGGCAGCTGAAACCTGGTTCCAGAGCTCTGCCATCGGAACACCCGGATCGACTCACTTACAGTGACTTACAGCTTTATGGGATCCAGTCTGCAAGAAAACATACACCTTCCGGGAAAAGATAAAGGATTGGCCAGTACCTCGTTTCCTGCAAGCCTAATGGCACAGGAAGTGTATAGCAAACGAACAAGCAACGATGTTGGCATCAGGAGACCAAGGGTGGAAAGAAACTGTCAGGACACTCGCGTCAAGCATCACCCGATGCACGCCGTCATCCAAGTACATTCGGCAAGTCGACACACACACACACACAGCAAGCGCACACACACAAACAAACAAACAAACAAACAAACAAACAAGCACTTGCTGTCTGTGCTTGCTGCTGACAGGCGTGGCGAAGTTAAGCCTCTGTACGGCCACACATGTCGAACATCTTGGGCTAGGACATGTCAGGGCGAGGCATGTTGAGGAACAAACAACATCTCTCCTGCTCATCGCACGACTCAGCAGGAACGCCGCTGAAGACCCCGTACGATCCAGGAGAGGCAGCATCTTGCGGAAGACATTAGACTTACACATAGTCTGCTTAAAGATCTGACTTGCGAAACCTCCTTTCAGCGCATAAGGCGTGGTGGTGTAAGGAGCCGACCCATTGATCGCAGCCTTGGATGTGCTATTGGACTGGGCTGCTCGCTGCAGAGGACCGAAGAGAACACATACGTCTAGGTATGTTGGTTCAGCTTCCGTTGCAAGGGCTGCCAGCCAGTGTGCAGTGAGCCAGATGCACCCTGCAGCTTAGATCAACATTGACATCGTCCGAGCAATGAGGTTAGATGTTCATCAGCGAGTGCACACCACACATCACTGATATCACTGACTGTCTTAAGAGTATGATGGTTGCTGGTTTCTTGTAGGTTATTATGTAATGATCTACTCATCTGTTTCTTTACCTATATGATATGTACCTACTAGTTTATGACGCACATGCGTGCAGGCAACGCTGCACATGCACGCATGTGCACATGCATGTGAGAGATTGTGTTCTGTGTCAGGCCGTACTTCAGAAGTGCCAAAGCGTTAGTCGTCTGACATGCCAAGGCTCAAGTAACAGGTGCTCTGAACACCGCAGTGGTTGCAGTTGGCGCCGACACCGTGCATGGCGACAATGCGCGGCGCGGGCTTGCCACCTAGCAACATGAGCAGCTGCCCAACTTGCAGCTTGCCCTCCCCGAAATTCCTCACAAGCTCTGTCCCGTCCATTCGAGATCAAACCGGGGTCCGCCCTCTGGCGACTGAAGGATGCAGCGATACATGGTCAGCGAAAGACCCGCCATGTCGACTGCAAGGTCGCATGCACACGGTTGTTGTCAACAAGGCCGAAGCGCAATTTGGAAGGTGTTTCTGTCTTGGTGGGTCGTATCATGATCATGCTTGCGGGCCGACTATATACTGCCGTGGCAGACTACCCTTGTCGGACGTGAGATGAGACAGCCGACGCTAGCGTGCACTAGTTCGCAGCTGGCAGTTCAACTCCGAATTCGTCTCACACCGCTTCGACTTTCGATTAGGCAGAGCTGCACTGGAGTAACTGAAGGCGGAGCCCCGATAAGCCACGTGTCGGCTATGCCTCGGGGCGGCGCCGGCAACCACCAAGCCGAGATATTCACCGGCACCTCTCCTGCCGGGGCTGCCGAGCAGATTTTGCCAACCGGGACGTTGGGTCACCGACGGCGTTGCTTAGTGCGCAACTCTGGCCACATGGTAGCTACGGAAAGCATGGCGCACGAACTCGCAGCATCTTACACGATGATATCTAGGAAAGCCTTGTGCAGTACAGGTGGCACATTTCCAGAATAGCAGAAATCATCCAACTGCTGCTCCAACCCCCAAAAAGCCCTAGGCCGTATGAATTAAGCCATTGAACGCCTGCACCCCTCCGAACGATGCCTCGGGGGCCGGCACGGGAGGGAAAGTAGACCATCCTCCATTCTCTGCTGTCACTCAAGGACGGCTGTTGTGGAATTTTTATCTCTCTTGGGGTCGTGGCGCGCTTCGAACAGATTTCAGGATGCACACCAGCAGTAGAAGCAGCAGCAGGAGCAGCAGCAGCACTACTGCCACCACCACCAAAGACACCAGCGACAACGTCGACGACGACTGCAACTTCTCCCGCTCGGCATGCCTATGACGATAACGACGGCGAGATCGACATGCTCGTATCGATGTAGATCATTGAAATTGTGATCATGATGCTGGCGATGATGATGATGACGATGATGACGATGATGATGATGATGTTGAGGTGCTGGCGCCGGGCGCTGATAATGCTGATGATGATGCTGCAGCCGATGATTATGGCGGTGCTACAGTTGTTTGAGCTGCTGGTGCGGCTGTTTGACGGTGGCGGCTGCTGCTGCTGCTGCCGCCGCCGCCACGCCTGCTGGTGCTGCTGCTGGTGGCGATGAGGACGAATGACGACGACGACGGGCGATAGGTTGCTCGTCATGTGTGGTATAATCGAGGAAAATCATAAAACCACAAGCAAGATCAAGCAAGCATAGCGTGAGCAATAGCAAAACGAGACGCATGGGTACCCAGATGTGCATACATACATAAAGTGCACGTGCACATGCACACTTGATGCGAATGTCCGCTGGTACTTTCAACGATCTTAATGCGGTGTAGGCTTTGCCCTTGGCAGGTCCCATGCACTCTGCACTCGCTGGACAACATGCTGCATTACTGACGTTGCCGAGCATGCAGGTCCAGAGACTGGCGTCCCAGTCTGTATCAGCAGAACTTGAACAGCCTCTTTGTCATTAGATGCCCACTCTTCAGGTGTGGGTGTGGGACAAGCCTCTGCTGCTCTCAATAGATTCTGCAGATCACAGCATGCTCCTATCCCTTTGGAAACGGGGTTGGGCACCGGCACAGACTGCTCAACAGGCGAACCAACATTTTCTACAACCAATGGACCGCAGACATATTATTTGCACAGACAGACAAGTGGCGGACAACACAACAGGCAGCAGACAGGCACGGAGGTTGAAGGCAAGCAAAGAAGCAAACGGACAAATGGAGGTTCATATTCCCCGATGCTTCCATCATTCCCCAGTGGCCTGAACTCATGGTCCCTGTTGTAGCGCTCCCAGCTGTGGACCTCAAAATAGAGAGATTTCAACACGACGGGACCTCCTGGTTTCCTTGCCGACAGCTCGGCCAAAGTACCCTGCGGGTAGTTCGTCCACCCGGATCTAAAGTGACACCGGGTTAGGGCTCTCAACCCTGCCCAATTCTGCGGCAGGTCAATGGTACACGTCCAGCAAAACTTCTGCTGCACGCCTGCAAAGGGGCCTGAGGTGAACTTACGCTGGCTATAGTCAGCTGTAGTGCCGCATTGATTCGTTCAGCGAGAAACCGAGTTAAATCCGCAAGCGTGATCATGACATCTTCGAAAGTTTAGGTACCCAGAGTTCAGGGGGAATACTGGTTCATTGAGATAGACCGCCAGTGTTGTATACCCCTCCAAGCGCAGGACGAAGCTCAAATTGTAGCAGGGATGTATGCACCTCGGGATGCCAGTGCTACAGCATTGAAAGGCTCCATTTCGCATTGGTTCTGCTTGGGCAAGGGCGTCGAAAGGGGACTTCAGTGTTGACACCCGAGCTGGTCAGCCAGTCAATCTAACAATCTGGCTGGTTTTTCCATCTACGACAGAAAGCTCATGAGTGTAGACCGATCGCTACCTACAGTTACAATGAGTAAACTGCTCTGAACCATGCCACGATGGTGTCGGAAACTCGACAGTGGCTCCACAGTCGGTATTGAAAACAGTCGAAGCCCAATGGCTGTCTCAGCTCGTCGTCAGACTTGTTGCCCTCCTGCAGCAAAGGCCCAGCCAAAGCTGTGAAGGTCCTAATACAGATATCGGCAAACTCCAAAAAGATAATCACACGTGTATTTTTATGCGCACTTCAGTTCAGGAAGTGCCAACTTCGGCCTCGCAGCCTCCGCAGCTGTTGTAGCGAGGGAACTCAGCAGGAGTTGTTTGCGCTCTCTGCGCATTGACGCTGCCTCGAATGGGCGATAGGAAGGGACATCGCAGAACTCATCCCTCGATCACGCTGCATCAGCATGATACGGGCGACTCAATTTAGCGTCTGTTCGTGATTTGTGCCTGAAGATGTTTCTAGCTTTCTCGTATTTCTGCAAATGGACCCTTGACTCTTGACCAAATCCCAGAGGGAGGAGCCCGTTTGGCCGCAGTCCTGCCTTGCGCACTCGCGCTCACCAGGTTCCTGCCCACAAAGACGACGACGCCAAGGAGGATCCTCGGCAAAGGCCATCCCCTCACCGAAAAACAGGAGCCCTTGCCTGACCCCCGGCATCGCTTGTCGGGGCCCTTGGAGTCACCATCGGCGGCAGGGGAACGCCGCTTAGAACATGTGTTTCTTGCTATGTCTTGCTCATCTGTTGGCACGGAGACTCGGTCCCTTGCTGAAGCTAGAAACATCACTCAAGCCCGCAAGTCCTTTGGCCAGAACGGGTCCTTCGTCACAGCCCGGCAATTCACGCTCGAGACAGAAAGTTTGGGACGGGCAGCATCAAGCAACCTGGCCATAAATAACGACTGCCTGAACGGCGTTAGTGCCGATGAGCTTTGCTTTCTTATGCGTTCGCAAAGCTCGTTCCCGAGAAACGGCCCACCCCACTTTTGCAGCTAAGGTGCAGGAAAAGACCGCCTCGGATCGCGGGAAGGGGGCAGAACCCAACCCTGAACCCAGAATGCGTAAAAGATCTTTAAAGAACCCCACGACACTGAACCGACACAGCCTCATTGTCACTGCAAACAGGAAAGAAGCTTCTTCAACCTCACATGCGCCTGCTGATGATGTGAACAGACGTTAATCAGTGAAGTGCATGTATAATGTGTTCATGATGGGTACAGCAGGTATGCAGCCGCAGGTCCACAGGCGTCTGGCTTCACAGTGTTTGTGACTGCATGTGTATTCGGTGCACGTCCAGGGGAAACGGTCTCCTAGCAAGCTCTCGACTTACGAAAGACACAACTTACGCCGCCCAGCTGCAGAAGGACGCCAAGCATGCGACGAGGCAAGCCCGAGCATCTCGTTTGTGGATGACGATGAGCCTTGTTCCCCAGAGTGTCGCGGGCAAGTGGGGAGGGGTGTAAGGAGTGAGACGTAATCATCGCAGTAATCAGTGGCGGAGGAGTCTTGACTCTTGAAGCACCCTCAATCGGGATATCGTATCTCCATGGTTAAGCTGCTCAAAGACTGTCTGATGAGCTCTTGCGGTTGTCAAACATTGAGTTCTGTCAACACTTTGGAGCATATTGCAGCACACTTCAAAGCACTGGGGTCGCCGCGGCTCAGCTCCGTCGTCCGAACCCTCAAGGCTGCTGCGGGGACCTTTCGAAGACTCGTGTCCAAAGCAGCGGTGAGGAGTTGAGCACAAGATGGGATATCTCTTCGTCGGAAATTACAATCGAGGAGGTCGCCAGACTGCTGGAAATCCACGGGACGAACTTGATCGGATTTTACGAACTTCATCCAAGGCACTCGCGCCCGGCAGAACCTGCATGACCACCGAGCGGGCATTCGTCATTTCTCGCTTCAGGGAGTTGTGGAGTTCGGTACAGTACCGGCGTCTTCCAGACTTGTGATCAAAGCTGGGCTCTTGGTCAGAAAGACGTGTACTCAGGGAGGCGAGCTGGACTTGAAACTCAGGTGACCAACTCTCACCACGGGGAGTTTGGCACGGAATTGCTGAAGACGACGATGATCGTTGCCTTCGTCCCCTGGACCCTCGGTGTGCCGTGAAGCATCCGACCACTTCACAGAACCCGAACGGTGCATCTGCGTGCATATAGACATGTGTACATATATATATGCGTAAATATGTACACACATACAAACATACAAACAAACATACATACATACATGCATGCATGCATGCTTCCATGCTTCCATACATACATACATACATACATACATACCCACCCACCCACCCAAACACAAACCACAGAAAGTGCGGTATTGCAAGGCATTGGAATGTGGAGCAATGTCATGCAGTGTAGATACTACATTGTCTTTTAGTGTATTGCAATACGCTGCTGCATCATATGAGGACCAATATTTTAGTGGCATGGTGTCAGATCATAACGTGGTATGTCGTAAAACTCGCAGCACAATGAGCTACAATCTACCAGAATAACGCATGATATCATGATATACTGTGATATACTGTGATATACTGTACTATGCTATAATATGCTGCAATCATGCACTGGAATGTACTATGCTATGCTGCTACAATGTGGAGAAACTGAGAACAAGGATGATGTAGAACAAAGAAATGTGCTCAATGTAGTTTACTTGAATAAAAAGCACCATTAGTTAGACATCGTATAACTATATAACCCTATCATCTAATGCAGCGGAAGATGTATAGTAACATAATGCTGTTTTCCAGAGTACGCTAGAATAGAATGGAACAGACTCGAGCACTAGCAAGAACTGAATGATCATGAGAGTAAGTGCTATACAAGGAGTTAAGGCGAGCACTTACTTGTCTGTGTTTGATTGTCTGTTTTCTTTTTTCAGATGAACTTATGTGATCATGTATTGGCTCGTGCATCCACAAACATAGCATTATACATCTCTTGAGCCCAACTCCCAACTGTGTAGCGACCAGGCTGCAACATCCCCTGTGAATCGGCAAACAAAAACCCCAAAAAAACTCAACAATGAGCGGTCCCGCGTATACTGAATATGATTATGCTTCCACTCAGCACAAGCTGTCTCGCGGCAAGGGCCTCGACCATTTTGTAACCTGTCGGTGTCCAGGCTCTGTTTGCAAAGGCAACCCGGCACCAGGCACGACTGATTTGGCCACATAGACTGAGGCTCTTGCTCGTCTGGCCAGACATGGCACAAGAGTCGCGAAACTCAGAAAAACAGTGTTCTGCTTCTGCTGCAGCTGTGCTGCCTAGCTAAGCCCTTGGATTGCCAGACTTCTAGCATCTTTACTCTTCTTGGAAGCGTCAACTAAAGCGCACTCGTCGATCGCCCTGTCAACATGAAGATATGAGCAGGCGGTCTGACACATGCTATCAAGGGCTACCTTCTACCTGCAGTTGATCTCAAGTCACAACAAAACCTTTCGAGCTGCTTTGCTACCCTGGCTCAGGTGGCGCAGGTTTGGGCCTAGTTGGAAAGCTGCAAATCTCGGCATGGATTCCAGAATCGGCGGCATCGATCTAGTAGAGCCACGAAAGCATGGTCTGTCATGAGAATGTAGCCCAGCATCTGATCATCAACACCCGTTGGAGGTTCCCTGAAGCTTGTAAACCAAACAAAAGCCCTATTTGGAGCCTTTCAGCTGACACCAAACAGATGAAGTGCCGGCTCTGTGCCTGGAAAGCCCTCCAGTCCACATCCGCCAGCAGAACCGGCACCTCTTCGCACCAGCTTGGAGTCGCGGTAGAAGCATTGCTGTTATTCATTTGCGTACCCCGTAAAACAAAAAAGACGATGAGACCGACCTGGCAATGAGGTAGTGCATTCGGCATACTTGCATGGCGCGCTCACCAGGAACCTGTTGGGCGTGTTCTGCTGCTCAATAGCCGCTCCCTACGGCAATGAAATGTGTCTTGGTCCGAGAGAAACTTGAAGTCTTCCAGGTTCCCCCACCAACTATGAAGACCCATGGGAAATCCACGCCAGAAGCGTAACGAACAATGCATTACAAGGGTCCGACAGGAACGGCTTGTTTCTTCGACCTGATATACCGGGGACCGGACACGAGGCGGGCCCGTCGCGATCAGCATGGCCCGAAGGAAAGTTGCACCTTGATACAAATGAACCAGGACTGAAAGGGTTGCTCCAATGAGTAAAGGTTCACCGGCAGCAAGGAACTTTCATGTGCCACCCACTTCACTTGGCTTCCGGCAGTGCTGGAAGGACAGTTCGCGGATTGCAGAGACGGCGCTGGCCTGGAATGGAGAAGGTGCAGCAAGCGCAAGTCAGCTCTGAACCACCACGCACTGACACGACCTCCGCCAGAGGTCTAAGGCCGCAGCGTACCGCAAGGGCTGCTTCGCGTTGGACCCCACGTCGGCAACACGAGAGAACCTGAGGTCTGGCAGAAGGCTGAGAGGTCCAACTCTCCCGCAGTCCTACATGATTTCATCCTTGCTACTCCAAAACCCTGCAAGGCTTCCAAAAGAGCCAAATCACAGCATTGAACAGTCGCCACCAAGGCACTGAAGAGAAAGCCCGGGTAAACCTTGCGCCCTTCTCTGTGCCAGCAGGCCGTCCACCACCAAATTGGCTGTCTGCACAACACAGGCGACGGAGATCAGTTCTTGCGCACGGGAGCAAGGGGTGATTGCTTTGCTGAACCAGTCGGTGCCACAACCCCCTCAAATCGCTGTTCAAGCCATCATTTTCTGCACCTTGGCTCGAGATCCTAGCTCTTTCTTTTGTTGCCACAAGCGGATGCATTGCTTCATACTCTAGTCTGATCTCACCAACTCCCTGAACGGAAACCGTGCCCGCGCAAAACCCGTGCCCCAGTAAAGAACACCAGAATTGCTCTATCTCTGGCTCTCACTCACTCTCTCTCTCTAGTCTCTCCCTCCAGATCTCCGGCCGCAATGGCCGCATTGGAGCCTTGTCCCAACCTTAGGCGAATGCCAATGGCTCAGGGGGGTCTGAGGCTGACGCCGCCGGAACATACAAGATCTAGGCAATCTAGGCACCCTAGAAGAAAGCAGGTCCCCAACATGCAGTTGGACACTCACCCCTGTTCGACATACTGCAGTCGACTCGCAGCAGAGACGTGACAAAGCAGCGATCTCGGAAGAACACGGAGCACTACACGGAAGATACTGCAGTCGAATCACTGAATCTGCACCCTTCTCAAGGTTTCAGAAACTAGACGATGGCCGGCGAGCATGTTCGTGATCACGATTTTGTGGGCTTTGTTGTGACAGGTGAACCTGAAGGTGTAGGGAGCTGACATTCAGCAGCAACCGTCTCCAGCCATGACTCCGACTCCATAGCTTACCCGGCATGTACCTATGCCCTCAGGCTTGAGCTGTCAATCTCAAGGCCTTGAAGTGCCCAATCACAACAAAGGACATGTGAACTTCAGCACAGAAGAGATGAACATGCAAAGTGCTGCACTTAACCATTTCATTTCGGGGGAGTGAAAGACAATGTAACAGCAGCTTGTGGCCTCCAACTTGGACCCACGCACCCAACCTGTTTAACCTGCCGGCCGTCGGGCGGCTGGAAGCTCATCACCAGGGGAGTCTTTAGAAAAAAAGGCTGCCAACACCGGCCCTTGTGCTGACCATCAGCATCCCAAAGGCATACTCCGTCCCACCAAGCATTCACAGCAGGAGCCCCTGCCGTTCCAGCCTTGAGTGCCAAATCTCTGGACCACTGGGCCACGAAATCTCACAAGATCCGCGAAACAGCCTGCAAACCCCAACATATATTGTACATATATACACATACATACATGTACACGTCTACGTCTACATATACATACACATACGTACACATACATACACATACATGCACATACATACACACACACACACATACACATACACATACACATACACATAGACATAGACATAGACACAGACATAGA